GACCCCATTTTGCTACATCCATCCTGCACAAGAAGATTGGAGTAGTTGACATCTCACTTCCTGACCCCAAAATATATTACAAAGCAGTGATAATCAAAACAGCATGGTATTGGTACAAAAACAGACATGAGGACCAATGGAACAGAGTAGAGACTCTAGAAATAAACCCCAAAACATACAGCCAACTCATTTTTGACAAAGGGTACCAGTCAACCCAGTGGGAAAAGGGAAACCCCTTTAGCAAATGATGCTGGAAAAACTGGGTATCCACCTGCAGAAAGATGAATCTGAACCCCTATCTGTAACCATTAACAAAAATCAAACCAAAGTAGATCAAAAGATCTAAACCTAAGACCACAAACTATAAAACTACGGGGGGGAAACACTATGGAAAATGGGAGACATTGGGGTAGGCAAAGACTTCTTAAGCAAGACCTCCCCCCCCACCAAGCACAGGCAACAATCCCTAAAATAGACAGGTGGGATTACATCATATTAAGGAGTTTCTGCACAGCAAAGGACACCGTAATTAGTGTGAATCAGCAACCCTTAGAATGGGATAAAATTTTTGTTACCTGTGCCTCAGATAAGGAACTGATAAACAGAATGCATAGGGAACTCAAGCAGCTTACCCAGAAGAAAATTATTAATCCAATTAAAAATGGGAAAATGAGCTGAATAAACAACTCTCTAAGAAAGACATATGCACAGCCAAAAGCATATGAAAAAATGCTCAACATCCCTCATTGTAAGGGAGAGGCAGATCAAAACCACAATGTGATACTAACTAACCCCAGTCAGAATGATGAAGATTAAAAAAATAATAATAATAAGTGCTGGAGAGGATGTGGTGGAATGGGGACACTCCTACACTTTTGTTGGGAACGTAAATTGGTCCAGCCACTGTGGAGAATGATATGGAGGTTCCTCAAAGACCTTCAAATAGAATTACCGTGGAAAAGAAAAGAAAAGAAAAGAAAAGAAAAGAAAAGAAAAGAAAAGAAAAGAAAAGAAAAGAAAAGAAAAGAAAAGAAAAGAAAAGAAAAGAAAAGAAAAGAAAAGAAAAGAAAAGAAAAGAAAAGAAAAGAAAAGAAAAGAAAAGAAAAGAAAAGAAAAGAAAAGAAAAGAAAAGAAAAGAAAAGAAAAGAAAAGAAAAGAAAAGAAAAGAAAAGAAAAGAAAAGAAAAGAAAAGAAAAGAAAAGAAAAGAAAAGAAAAGAAAAGAAAAGAAAAGAAAAGAAAAGAAAAGAAAAGAAAAGAAAAGAAAAGAAAAGAAAAGAAAAGAAAAGAAAAGAAAAGAAAAGAAAAGAAAAGAAAAGAAAAGAAAAGAAAAGAAAGAAAGAAAGAAAGAAAGAAAAGAAAAGAAAAGAAAAGAAAAGAAAAGAAAAGAAAAGAAAAGAAAGAAAGAAAGAAAGATTGTATGTCTTCACTTAACATATACCGACTGTCTGCACTCTATGGTAGAGACTGGAAGACTGGAGAACATAAAAGCATTAAAAATTGTAATGGACACTAGAGACAAATGGAAAGAGAGTGTGGGAGGGGAAGAGTATACGAAAGGAAGTTTAGGGAAAAATAGAGAGGTAAGACACTTGTAGGACCCAGATACGGTTTTTTATCTGTTGACAAGGATGTGTGTAATAGTCTCAACTGGGCTGGACTGAGGCGTATATCATGCTGGGGAAAATCTCTTCACAATCTAAATGATGTATAGCAATTTAATACATGAATAATAATTTTGAAAATTAATTTAAAAATTTAAAAAGAAAAAAAGAAAATGAGAATAAATAATGATGATGGTAATGGTGGTAGTGGTAATGATATTGATGGTAATGATGATGGTGATGATTGTTATGCTGGTGATGATGACGGTGATGGTGATGGTGATGATAGTAGCAAAGGTGATGATGATGATGACAAAGGCGGTGGTAGTCATGTGCCGATGATGTTGGTAATGGTGATATTAGTAGTAAGGAAGATAATGATGGTGATGTGATGATGGTGGTGCTGACAACGAGGAGGAGGTTTTTTTTTTTTTTCCCCTTAGTTTTAGTGTGTGCTTTTCAGAGAGAGAGAGAGGGAAAGTGAGAAATCACCCCCACACACACACACACACACTCTATTCATAATAGTTCAATCTGGAAGCAACTCAGTGTTTATCATTTGGTGAATGGAAAAATAAACTGTGGGATATCTATGTAATGGAATGTTAATCTTTCATTACAATTGGTGCTTTTTCATTGCTGTATAGTATTCCACTATTTGAATACAGTACAAACTTCTCCAGTAGGCTTTTGGCTCTTTTGCACGTTTCCCATGACCTTCCTATACTGCTCTGCATTGTTCTTGTCCTTGGTTTCTCCAGGGAGAATCCTAGGTAGACAGAAGTTGGGTCACAATGCATATGGATGTCCAGTTGAAGTCGAACACAAGATGTTTTCCAAAACTTACTTTACACTCCAGCATGGGGAAGAAAGACCATGAGTCACATTCTCTCCATCCTTGATCTTATCAGCTCTGTATGTTTTCTGAGCGGGTGTGAGATACAATCTCATAGTGTTTTTATCTATGTCACTAATGAGATGGCAACTATCTTCACCTTATCAGTTCAGGAGAAGAGCTTTCTAACTTGACATAGAGATGGTGAGTAGTTTTTGTGTCTCATTTAAAAAATTCATTCTACTTCCCAAAGTTACAGATATTCTCAAATACCTACTAAAAATTTTTAAATGTTGCTTTTGGCTACATGCCCAGATTCACCTGGAATTTATTTTAGAGTGTGATGCAGTCCATGAGGTCTTCCTTTAAAGAGAAGCCCTTTCTTGGGCCGGTAGGTGGTGTGCATGGTTAAGGCACTGGACCTCCACATAGTCGACTATGGTTTGAGTCCTAAAACAAAAAAGCCCTTTCAACTGAATCGAGTGTTTCTCTCATCAGCTTTAACCAAAACTAGAAAGAATAGATAAATAGATAGATAATTGACAAATGTGTGAGTAGGTAGACAGATAGACATATACTTAGTTTTGCAATAGTCCAGCAACATAGATTACACCAACTACTGGTCCCTTCTCTGCTGTTCTCAGAACAAGAGTTGTTTTAGTCAAAAAAAAAAAAATCTGTCTTGAAGCTTTTTCTCAGCTTAAAATGCAGCTCACAAGCCCTGACTGATAGGAATCAATCAGTCCTTGTTGGAAATGGTAAAAGTCCATGGCTTTGGACCCTGGTTTTCTTGATGTTCTCTACTTGCGGTTCCATATACATTGGTGAAAATATGTCCACCTTAAATGGGGAAACGGTGAATATCTCCAATTCATCTATTGCCCATTGTCGTGCCTTGGGCCTAATGCCTGGAAGGCTTTGGTGATAATTCAGAAAATCACAGTTCAATCAGTGAGAGCACTAGAGCTTTGAAAACTATTCTGCTGTTCAAATGCATAATTTCAACAATTTCATAGCAACATGTGCTTACAAATGTCAAAATGTCTTGAATGTGTTATTTCTTTTTTTTTTTTTTTTAAAGAATTATTTTATTTGGAGCCGGCAGGGGGCATGGTGTTTAACGGCATTGGACTCTCAGGCATTGGACTCTCACATGCGATTCAAGTCCTGGACCTAGCGACTCGCTTTTTCACTTTCCCTCTCTGTCTTTCTCTTTGTCCCTCTCTGGTTCAAATTAAAATAAATAAAGTTAAATAAAAAAAGTTCTTTACAAAAGAACTGTTTTAAGAACTACGTTATTTAACTTTATTTCATCTATTTAACTTTATTTTAATTTGACCAGATATGGAGGGGGTGGGGGAATGAGAAAAAGCAAGTCGCCAGGTCCGGACTTGAACCAAAATCGACCACGTGGGAGTCCAACGCCGTTAATCAGCACGCCACCTATGACTACGTAATAAAAACACTCTGGAAATTGTCCAGAGAAGGTTGGTGAGGCAAAAATGGAAGGAGTTGTGTTTGGGATCTCGATGAAATTTTTGTTTTTAATTTGCCAGAAGGCACATCATTTGCCACAAAGTAAAGCAGGAAAGCGCACGCCCCACAGGCAATGGCCACAGAGCAATCTCTTCTCTTCCATTTCTCTCTCCTCCCAAGATTTTGGGCACACACAAGCGCACACACAGGCGAGCGCAGAGATACACGCACACGAGCGCGCGCGCATCTAGCATATTTTTCAAGCCACCATCCAGGACTCAAACCACGCAGCCAGCCACGTGGGATCCAGCAGCCTTGACCATCACGCCACATTCGGACTGGCCGGAATGTTTTCAACTCGTGTGGTTCCCAAACCACTTCTTTGTGTTATGGTGCAGTCTCCAACACGAAAGCAGTAAAGAGCTGCTCCGAAGAGCTCCCTAGCCTCTCCGCCATTCTTAAAGCACACTAAACCTGCGGCCTCTGCCTAGTCCTCCCTGGCCGTCCTCGGGACTGGTCGTCCAAACAGGCGCGGACGACGTTGTCAGGGCTCCGCGGCCGGGAAGGTAACGAACACTGGCCGAAGCGACTAACTGCAGACGTCGGGCTCCGACCCCAGTCGCTCCAACCCGGGAAAGCTGGGGGGGCGGGGGCACAGGGACTCGGGGCACGCGCGTGGCCCCTTGGGAGTTGTAGTTCAACGCCAGTCTGCGCAGACGCTGCGCCCTCAGGGGCAGTCGTGACCTCTATCTGACCCGGAAGGGCTGTAGAAAAGGGCTTAGGAGTAGGGTGGCAAGCCCGGAAGCGCGCGCGGCC